AATATAATTTATTGAATTCAGCACATTTCAGGAAGTTTTCAAAATTTGTCTTTTGTGGGGGCAAATATATGCAATATACCGCATATAGTTCTTTACAATGTATATTTGTTGATTCTTATTCTATAAATATTGATCAAATATTGATCAAAAATAAAGAAATTATTAAAACTTGAACATTTTTAAATTTTCCTATTCTAACACACTACAAATTCCTTTTGACAGGCTAAGCTGGTCGCAGCAGCTACTCATAGTTTGTGTGAATCAGCTAATGCCATGGTTCAAGGTCACGCCACAGAGGAGAGACTGATCGCCTCAGCTAAGGAGGTCGCAGGGTCAACGGCCCACCTGTTAGTGGCCTGTAGGGTCAAGGCCGACCCCAACTCTGTCGCCATGAAGAGACTTCAGGTAAGACTTCGAAGGGATCGGGTGGGGTTATTTGTTTTTTGACAATTTTTTTGGCAGATTCATTACTTAAGATTTGTCATCCTTTTCTTCATTTAACTGCCTTATTTATAATTAAGGTGAAAAAATTGTATAATTATTATGAAAACATAAATATCAGCAAATTGAAGAGGGAAAACTTCATAGAACTTGACTTTATCTTGACAACATTTTAATAGAAAGTTTGTCATGAATACCAGCAAGCAATAGTTATCTTTCCTATCAGTTGGTCAATGCACCTTAAAAAAATAAATTCTGATTGTAATCAAGTAAATAAAATTTTAGGGGGAATTGTTCAAGCTCTTTTTTACTCTCAGATCTAGCTTAGTTTTTAAAGAGCTCTGTGACAGATGAATACTTACCTTTTTTACCCATTTTGTTATTTACCTCTTTTGTGTGTATCTTTTAACAGGCAGCTGGCAATGCTGTAAAACGAGCCACAGAGGTTCTGGTGAAGGCTGCTCAACAAGCCAAACAGAGGGATGAAGACGAAGATATTGACGTCGCTGTGGATTCACGTAAAGTCGGAGGAATTAAACAGGTCAGTGTGACCTATATAAGTCAATCTGACCTACTTTCGTCTGTATTACATGTATATGGGATATACCAGTATAATTATCATATGTTTGTTAAGATAAATATACATGTAAACATTTATGTATTTACAAACCGTCCAAACTGAAAAAAAAAATCCAAACAAAACTTGAAATATGCGTATGCATCTTTCATGTGAGGATTTTTTTTTTCAAGTTGGATGGTGAATTTATTATTACGCATGTATTTATATGATTATCTTGGATCTGAAATATCAAATATTCTTTATTTCTCTGTTGTATTGGAGAAGACAAATACTAAGTTAACATTATACTAGAAAGTATAATTTAAAAATTGATAAATTAACAATCAATAAAATTAGAACAATGCAAACTGATATTATATATAGCACAAACAACTTGAAGTTAAAATTTGGTCCATTATAACTATTAACAGATGATTATGGTAATACATAACAGTGTATTGTACTAATACTCATTAAGTTTTTTAATGTATATTAATTTATACTACTTAATAATAGTAGATTGTAAATATAGAAAACATTTTGTTTATTAAAATATTTATTTCATTAAATAATTGATTATAACCAAAACATTTTTAAGTTCATTTATGGAAAAAAAAACTAAGCAATATTAATCTTCATAACTATTGTACAAGAATAAGATTAAGCTTTCAAGTAAGCCATACATTCAATGTTTTCTTTTGAAAGTGCAATTCATTCATAAAGAAGTTAGATTATTTACTAGTTATTCATTGATGAATTAAATTTGACTCATTATGCCTTATAATTATGTTATGTACAGTGTGTGTGTAATGCGATGAAGTGTTTGAGGCTATCACAGAAACACAAGGCAATCTGTGATTTCATTTTAAGGTTCACCGCCCCTCTATAAACTAAAACAAAATTTAATGTTGTAATCATCCTTCTCAAGAATTTTTAAAATCATATTGAATTAAAATCGTGCTTTCCGGCTAAGCAAATTTCCGAAAGAAATCATTTTTTGAAAATTCTTATTAGAATTCATCATACCTTGAGTGGAAATATTAATTTGATAGAAACGGCCGTTCAACTGGACAATGTGTTATAGAAGAAATTATGGTCATGCATTAATTAATTGTTCAACTGGACAATGTGTTATAGAAGAAATTATGGTCATGCATTAATTAATATCCATTATTGGAGGGGTAGTGAACCTTTATTTCATTTTATGAAGCTTTAAAATGTATGTTGATTACAAGTTATCCAGTCTAAAATGGTTTATATCTATAGATAGTTTTTGTAAGACATATTTTCTCTCAGAGTTATTTCCCTTGGTTGGGTCATCATCTAAGAGGTCAACCTGCTGATTTAATTATTTTCCCCTTTGTCTAGCCAAATTTAAGAGGATGTCGTAGAAATGTTTTTTTTTTTTTGGAAATTCTTGATTAATAAATGTTATGAAAAAAGGAGTGTTTAATAAATGTATATTTTTCATAAACCATGTTTCCAGTATAAAGAATAAAAAAAGTTGATTGAATAATTAAGGAAAATAAGCATATTGATTTTCAATATATACAGCTACCAGGGGGAAAACTTTTCTTTTTGGAGATTTTTGTTCTATTGAAATCTGATCATTTACCACCAAATAAATAAAGAAAGTAAGAAGGAAGGAAATGTGTTACTGAACACCCTCTTTAGTGAACCTTTCTCCCACCTTAAGATTAAAAAAAAGACAATGGGGGTTTTCTTTAACATAATTCAGGGCAATGATGCTGTCTGAACTGGGTAACTTGGATCATTGAATGTTTTCTTGTTTTATCAACTTTCCTCTCTGTTCTAGTTTTTCCTTGATACATGGACCTCATTCCCATGGAAACCTTTCTTATTTCAGGAAAAAAACACTGCAATTTTTTGTCAGATATCAAGTGACAAAGTATTTTTTGCTTTTTATGGTATCAACTTTCTGACTTTTCATCTCGATTGGTCTTTCTTATTATAAATATGTAATAAATTGTTTCAAATAAATTAAACAATGTATACAGTAATCTTTAAAAAAAAATGACAAAAATATAATTAATAGATTTTTTAATAAACCAGTTGGCAAGTTAATATAGAGAAATGATATTTTGTGTAAATTTACTATAGTCAGAAAGTCATCCATGTTTTCTTGCTATTTTTAGCAAATTGAGGCCCAAGAGAGGGTACTATTGTTGGAGAAACAGTTAGAGGAGGCCAGGAGAATGAAGGAGAAACTGGCCGAAAAACGAGAAAAGGCCGCACAGCAATAAATCATACAGATCAAAAAATCATACAGTGTGGCAGCACTACGCTGGATTCACTTATTTTACTGAATTTGTAATTTTCAAAACATTGGAAACATTTCTCTAAAAATGTTTCATGTAACAAGTAATTATAAAAAGAATATCGCATCAAGGTATTCAACTGTGTCTCTACATACAAAAAAAGATTTTTAAAACAGGAGAAGTGAATCTTGTTATCACACTGTCTGATTGGTTAACTGTCACAAAGTTTTTGATTGGTTAACTGTCAAGTACTGTTTGATTGGTTAACTGTCAAGTACTGTTTGATTGGTTAGCTGTCATGGACTGCATGCTATATATAATTTTTCTTTACAGTCTTCTTTCTCAATGTCTTGTCTTCATCTGTATACATGTAATCATTTTCTCCTCCATATAAAATTTTCAGGAACTCCAATTTCAAGAAGAAATGTTACGTAAGGAGAGGGAGTGGATAGAAGCCAGGGAGAAGCTGGCCAAATTTAGAAAACAGCGATACAAAGACGCGCCCCATGACAGTGACTCCTCATCAGCGTTCTAAAACAGCTTTAACCATAAACTGTATAGTGCCTGTCTATGTATTGTGATTTCAATATGGCTTCCACGCTGACCTTATAAAGGTCACAGAGAAAAGAGTTTCAATGACTCAGATGAGGGGTGTGGCTAGGGTTAAGAAAGCATTTGAATAGTGTTGGATTTGCAGTGAGTTTAGTTCTTACATGATTAGAATGATACTAGACAGAATGTATTGAGGTGTTTGTATAAAGATTTTGTACAATCAAGAGATGTGTTAAAAATGAATGGAATTTTACAGACAGATTTATAAAACCAGAGAAACATACATGGATTTTTTTACACAAGGATTTTATTGAGTACATGTATTAGAAGAATTTTTAAAGGATTCAAAGATTTGATCATCAAGCAATAAGAAATTGTTAGCCATTTATATTTTTCTAATTTAGATCTGCTGAATGTTTATTTGAAGAAAAATTAACTGAGTGCAGTTTTATGTATTATTTTATTCTACATAGAGTATGTGATAACTGATTTGTATAATTATGCAACAATATGATAACTTCTTTATCATTGATTCTGATAACAACCAATTTGTATGATGTGTATTTTATCTACTTGTGTTTGTAATACAAGTGATTACTAATATTTCTGAAAGCTGAGCATATTTTATAGAGAAAAATGTTTGCAATATGAAATATATTTTGCACATAAAAATTAATATATATACTTTAGTTTACTAATACCTATTTTGTATTTGAATGTGAGTGCAGAACAGTTTGGTCTGTGTGTGTTTGTGTTGCTAAGAAAAAATCTAAGCATGGATATGTTTTAATATAAGTTTTAAATGGATGTTAATGATAGAAAAAAAGTTCTATAACTTTATATTTTTGTTGTATGGCTTCAGTATAATCCGAATGATTAACAAGCTAGTCTTATCATAACCAGTGCTAAGCCTGTAGACGTGTTATATGTTATAACGTTACATTATTTGTATGTATTTATTTCTATCAAAGCTGATGCTTTCTATTCACTGTTTTATACTATATATATTGTGCTATATATTTACCATGCATTATCAAACCATAATGTGTCTAGATTTCAACTACAGCATGCATACTGAACTATTCAATATGATAATTATCTCACCATTAATTAATGGATAATAATATAAAATTATCTACTGTAAGACTGATATTTATCTCATTATAAGATGATAATTATCTAAAATTATCTAACATTTAGAAGATAATTATCACACTTTTCCTGAAAGATAAACTCATCATTACTCTATCAATATCTATCATTAAAGATTTAGGAGTGATTATGGTGTTTCTAAGCATTATTGTCTTTACTTACAATAAAATGTACAGTTTATCAAATGAAAACAGGAATTATAGCTATCACATTTTGATATCCTTGGATCTTCATGGATAAGAAAAATTAAAATCCCTTTTAGAAATAAGCCTTACTTAGATAACCCCTGTTATAATGTTCTTTAAAGAAAGGAATTTAAGATTGTTAATAAAATCTTTTGTCCTCCCTCATTGTATTATATTTACAGAATTATATTTCATTTTCACTCAGTCTTTGGTGGGTGTTACATCTAATCGTGTATAAAATCGTACTCTTGTTAATATCTCCCTATGTGACAACATGAACTGCATATCAAAGATTTTAATTCATGATGCTTATGTATTGACGTGTTATAAATGATGATAATAAATATATGTATAAGATGTCTATATTTTGTTGTTGGTTTTTTTGCATTGGTGAATTTCACTTTCGTCGGTGAAAAGTCTTTCAGTTGGTCGTCTGGCACCTGAAAGGTATAATAGATAGCCCTACTAACAACTATTTAGAAAATATAACAAGAGTTAGTTTTCTAAAAGAAGGTCATAGTTCAAGGTCAATGTCATGGGATAAAAATAATGGTAAGAAAGAAGATACTGATTACAAGGAATGTATATGTGGAATATTACAACTCTAGCAGCAACTGTTTCAATGTTTTAGGTAAGGATAAAGTAGCTCCAAGGTTGGGGTCAAACACATGGGCATCGAAAGATTAATATTCAAAAACACTTATTCTTCTCACGAACCACTGTGTCAAAATAAGCTGATTTTTAGCTCTGCTGGTCAGACCAGAAGAGCTTATGCGATAGTAAGGTGTCCGTCGTCCGTCCGTCCGTCTGTCTGTCTGTCCGTCTGTCTGTAAACAATTTTTCAAAACGCTACTCCTCCTACAGTTTTGGTCTGATTTCAATATTACTTGGCACACAAGTAGACTACACTAAGATACATAAAATAGTGCATCGGTTTTTGATTTCAATGAACGTTGTTGCTATGGTTACTAAAAATAGAATTTTCTTTGAAATTCCTTTAAAACGCTACTCCTCCTACAGTTTTGGTCTGATTTCAATATTACTTGGCACACAGGTAGACTACACTAAGATACATAAAATAGTGCATCAGTTTTTGATTTCGATGAATGATGTTGCCATGGTTACTAAAAATAGAATTTTCTTTGAAATTCCTTTAAAACGCTACTCCTCCTACAGTTTTTGTCTGATTTCAATATTACTTGGCACACAAGTAGACTACACTAAGATACATGAAATAGTGCATCGGTTTTTGATTTCAATGAACGGTGTTGCCATGGTTACTAAAAATAGAATTTTCTTTGAAATTCCTTTAAAACGCTACTCCTCCTACAGTTTTGATTTAATTTCAATATTACTTGGCACACAAGTAGACTACACTAAGATACATAAAATAGTGCATCAGTTTTTGATTTCGCTGAACGGTGTTGCCATGGTTACTCAAAATAGAATTTTCTTTGAAATTCCTTTAAAACGCTACTCCTCCTACAGTGTTGATTTGATTTCAATATTACTTGGCACACAAGTAGACTACACTAAGATACATAAAACAGTGCATCGGTTTTTGATTTCGAAGAACGGTGTTGCCATGGTTTCTAAAAATAGAATTTTCTTTGAAATTCCTTTAAAACGCTACTGTGTCCTACAGTGTTGATTTGATTTCAATATTACTTGGCACACAAGTAGACTACACTAAGATACATAAAATAGTGCATCGGTTTTTGATTTTGGTGAACGGTGTTGCCATGGTATACTAAAAATAGAATTTTCTTTGAAATTTATTTAAAATGCTACTCCTACTGTTTTGGTCTGATTTCAATATTACTTGGCACACAAGTAGACTACATTAAGATACATAAAATGGTGCATTTGTTTTTTATTTTGATGAACGATGTTGCCATGGTTACTAAAAATAGAATTTTCTTTGAAATTTCTTTAAAACGCTACTCCTCCTACAGTTTTGATTTGATTTCAATATTACTTGGCACACAAGTAGACTACACTAAGATACATAAAATAGTGCATTGGATTTTAATTTTGATGAACAATGTTGCCATGGTTACTCAAAATTGCATTTTCTTTGAAATTCCTTTAAAACGCTAGTCATCCTACAGTTTTGGTCTGATGGCAATGGCTTCTTTTCTCATCCTTTGTTATAAGTACAAACCAGTAGAGCTACAGTCTCGACAGAGACTTCTGTTTTCTGGAAATATTCTGGGGTACTCCCAGGGCTAGAACGGGGCCACAATAAGTATTACAGGAGGACAATATCTGGTGAAGAACTGCTGATTGCAAAATATTATATATACAAAATAAAGCAATATAGATTTATGATGTCTTAATTCACTTAATGATATCTAATACACATTTTTTGAGTTAATGAGAAACATGCATTTTGTCGGGCCCAAGAACCAAACTGTTTTCCTTAGGCCGAAGGCAGACGGTTTGGTTCGAGGATTCTACAAAATGCATTTTGCAAAGAACGCAATCAAAAATGTTTTGTTATTCGTTTTATTCCAGTGTTTTGTTGTACTCTCAGTCCAAAATCTCATCGACAAGTCCAACATCTTGCTCATCGGTCAAACACCGTTTTTATTCCATTCAGTAAAACATGAAAAATGAAAAAAAAAGGTATATATTTCTATAGGAACAAATCTTTAAAGTTTTAACGATAAGACAATATGTTCACACCCACCTAATTTACACCCCTTTTGCTTTTGTACGTATTATTTATGGGAGACATGTAGATATTTCTTTGACTTTTTATATACAAAAACATTATAATGATCGCTTGATAGCGCCTTTTTGGCGGATGGACACCCTGTAATATTTAGATCCGCCCTTTTAATTTAATTTGAATAGAATCTCTAAGAATGTTACTAAATTATACGCAGAGTATATATAAGATTTATACCACTAATTATAAATGTATGGATATTTAACAGCTGAATAAGATCAGTGATACATCTTATCTGTTGATTAAACTTGAATCGGATACTGTAAAATGACATATTTTCGTGGGGTCAAATTTTAGAGGTTTAAATTAATTTCGTGATTTAAATTATTTTAGAAGTAATGCTTATGAAATTTATTTTGGGGTGGTTTTAAATTTGATGGGTCTCTGCATACCTCAAAAACAACGACAATTTTATCAATTTCATGAATTTGGACTGGATCTACAGTGCGTAAGTAAAATGTCCAACAGTAAAAAAAATCTTTTCCTTACATTGACATTAGCCGAAATGGTGAAGTGTACCAGACATAAATTCCAAACAAATATTAATTTTGGTGAATAATCTTTTAGTACATATATTTCTATGATTAATTGAGTTGATACATATTATATTACTTTTCCAATGTAAATATTAGGAAGGATTTCTTAAGTGTAGCCATTTTGTTATGCACGCACGAGTCACTGTATTGTTACTTAATATGTCTCAGTTACATATCAAAAATATATAAATTAACGTGAGATATAAAGCAATCATGTATGTAGCTTGAAAGAACATTTAATGCTGCATTTACTAATTACACAATCTTTACAGTAGTTGTCTACATGAAATAAATGCAAGCATCAATAAAAGTGTAGCCATTTTGTCACAGGTACGAAAAACGTCATTTTACGCAATGCGTACATATGACGTCGGGATTGTCAAAGTATTATCACCGTGGCTTTTTGTGAACATGCAGGAACCCCCCACCCCACCCCACCCCCACCCCCGCCCTACCCCAACCCCGATGTTCAAATATTATAAATCTTTCCTCGGGTAATTTTGTGAAAACAAAATTCCGTCAGGTGACTTATATATAGGTGGTACATTTTTCGCTTACTATGACACTGTGCTCGAACACGTTAAAAAGTCACCCATCGATTATTATTATTAATTATTATTTCATTTATTTTTAAAGCGCAAAATCACATATTGTTTCTATACGCTGTACAATGGTTTTGCTAACTTTTAATAACAATATATCAATAAAACCTATAAATTTGTTATGGAAAGTAAATAATCGATAAAAATAGAAGTACCTTATATAAAACATAGTAGTAAGATGAAATTGGTTAACGTAGACAAGGCAAAATAAAATGAAAATAAAACTTATGTACACAGAAAAGTACTTCTGAAGTTAACACATGGAGTCCTAGATGTTATACTGGAATTTTACATTCATAGGTTATATTCACGCTTGAATAAGAGTGTATTTAGGTTCTTGCGGAATGCTCCATGTGCTTCAAGCTCTCGTAGTTCTAAAGGCAGGTTGTTCCACAGTTGTGCACCCAATGTGCTTATGGCTCTTGCACCATATTTGTTCGATGATTTCTTTACTATTACTTTCCATTTGTCAGACGATGATCTTAAAGTCCTTTGTGGCTGATAAGTTGGGCATAACTCTCTGATATAGGATGATGCTGAGGAGGAGTTTAGAGACTTGTGCATGGTAGTCAGCACTTTAAACACAACACGTTGTTTTACAGGCAGCCAGTGCAATTGTTGAAGTACTGGCGTGATATGTTGTCTGTAGAACGTTTTTGTGAGACAACGCGCAGCATTGTTCTGAGCCACTTGTAATCGGTGCATGGAAGGATGGGTTGTGCCTAGCAGAAGGGCATTGTGATTGGGATACGACTGTTGCATTGATGACCTTTGCACACGCTTCCTGGGTGAGATGTTGTTTCACCTTGGAGATTCTTCTTATGTTAAAATATATCGAATCTTTTTTACCATTGAGTTGACTTGTAGTTCCATTGATAAGGTGGTATCCTGGGCAGCACCGAGGTTTTTAAAAGATGTCAC